CAGAACAACACAAATTCACCCTGTAAACAAACCTGTATCGGTCGACCGGCATGACCCTTCGGTCGACTGACAGCCAAATTCGATTGACCGGAAGTATCTTGCAGTCGACCGACCAGAGTGCATCAAATTGACCTGTAGCCGTGCATATTTTCGGTCGACCGGCCTTGCCTCACGGTCGATCGGACAACATCCAAATTGTTTCATGCTTCAAATTTTCTGAACTTCATCGCTGAGTCCGCCATTTATACAATTCTCCACCTCGGCGAAGTTTTCCCAAAACTGAGCCGACACCAATACCAACCAAACGTCTCACTTGTTACGTCTAGTACGAAGTGGAAACAATCCACAATAACGGACTCAATCCACAATAAGCCAAGACCCAAATGAGAATATGGACAAAGTCTAAATATCGGTATCAACTCACCAAACTGGTTGCATCAAAATGACTACCTACGTATTCTCTTACCCAAGGAATCAAGCCTCACGTAGTTCACCAAATGGCCTCCAAAGGCCCTCAATTAACTAAAAAAGTTCTTAACCCTTCTCGATCATCACCAACAAATCTGTAGGTGATAACTCTCCCACTAGCCTCAAAGAGAAACGAACCAAACATCTCCACCTGAGGTGAACCAACAGCCATAACCAAATCCGAACTGTGTCCACCAGCTGCACTCGAATCAACAAACTTATCATCTGCATCCACATCAACATGATCTCTAATCCGTGTTACCTCAGCTAGAATCTCAAACGATACAGGATAATCTGGAGTATGTGGAGTAATCTCCACCCAACGTGGAGTAGCACCACTCTCCACCCGTTGCGATATCCCAATGATTTGTCCAACACTCTCCACCTGCTAAGAGTTAAATGTGACACTACTACTTAGAGCAATATCAGAGTCCCATACCTGATAATCAAACACGCCTCTGAATCCCAAATGTGCATTCGGATCAAATTTCACATCTTTAATGTGACAATATGCCGAGCATCCAAATATCCGAAGCAATCCAAAATATGAAGTAGCTCCATCAGATCCAAATACACCAATAGCTACAGATGTCAACCTGTAAATAAGATAGCTCAAATATGTCAAAGCCTCAGTACCAAAACTCCTCTGCAATCTACTGCTTGACATCAAACACCGATCCTCCTCTAGCAAGGAATGACTCATCAAATCTGTCACCTCATCTCGTTACCCTAATATTTCCTTTCCAATGAAGTGCCTCAAACTGCGTTGAGCTAGGCACAAATGCAGAAACAGATCTCTCTTGAACTTTCCACCAAACTCAGAACGAAGTATTTTCTCCTTTCTGCCTATACACTTCTTCCACCTGTTATTGACTACTAGGACTTCACTCCAACGGGACTTGGTTACAACCCATAAATATTTAGAGCAGTCTCCAACACAGGAAACTAAATACCTATTACCTCCCAATGATGCCTCATTGGAAGACCCCAAATGCCTACGTGAATATCATCTAGAAGGCCCTTCGCTCGGTGAATAGAAGTGCCAAACTTCACCTCGATCTTCTTGCTCATACTAATATATTCACAGGACTTTAAATTGCAGGTCAAGGTACCTCTCACCAATCCATGCACGGAATCAACACTCGAATACCCCAGCCTCAAACGCTACAGCCTAGCCAAATCAATAGAAGTCGTTAATTCTCCACCTGTCACCGTGCTCCCTGTTTGCGTCGAAAATTGGTTTATTTGTCGAATCCATTACACGTTTATCGATTATAATAAATTCAAAAGAGTTAGTCTTTTTATAAGATTACTCACTTACACAAATAAAACAAAAATTACAACTCTCTTCAAACACACGCAGAGGACGTTTATCACCCGCTGCTTGCGTGAGATCTTTCCATGTGCCGGTGATGCGTTAGTCCATGGACCACCATGGATTAGATCTGGTTAGAATGAAAATTTAATGCTCTTGCTTCACAAAAGAAACAATCCCAGAAGTGATAATCTCGACCAAACGAGATTACGACTCTTTTCGAGATCAAAACCAAGTTTGATCCGGAGGAAACGAGAATGGGCCTCATATCTCTCGAGCTCTCCTTCTTTATGCCGAAGAACTTCACCAAGATCTGGTAGCCTCTCTAAAATTTGTGATTCACTCTATAATTTGACAGCACCTCGCCTAAAATTTCAGATCCCCTGCGTATAGGGCCCTAGGCTTATATTTATAGGCTTCAGATGCAGTGTATTCGGATAAGAATTGATGATTTAATCTTATCCTCAATTAATAACCGCTTAACCATATTTAAGGATAGCTTCAAAATAGTTAGGAGGCTCTGAAACGAACAAATCCCGAGAAAACCAGTCGAAAAATGTGTTTTGGGCACTTCCGGATGCAAGCGCCAAGCCACCTGGCCTTGGCCGAGTCGTTTTGATGCGACTCGGCCGCCAAGGGCTTTTACGGTTCGGTCCTGTTCCGCCGTTACGCGTATTTCATCGTTTCGCTGACTTATACGCTTCACCGATTCGCTTCATGCATTTCGTTAGCTTAGAGGTGGTTGATGACCGCGCGAGCTACTTGGAGGTAGCCAGTGAACACTCAAATATCCTAGCCTCGAACTCAGAACCTTTTGAAACACCAAAACTTGTACTTTTCACTATGCTACTAAAGATTTCTAAAAAATATCAGTAGTTAATAAATATATAGTTTAAAAACTCATTTTTGGAGAACGTTTTGACCAAAAAATCCAACACAATATACAATGAAACTGATTATATTCATGATTGTCGCCAGAACCCTAACGGAAAAATTGAAGATTTTTGGGCACTAAACATTAAAGAGAATAATTTCACATCATATGAATTCAGGAAGTTGTTGGTGATCCTAAACTAAATCAGGTACGATATTTCAAAATTATTTTATGTGAATAAATTCCTTACTGTGCAGATTTCAATTCGAAAGGATTTCTATTTTTTAAATCTTTTTGGGTTATTTTCATATGATGATGAAAGAGTAATGTTTATGCCATGTGAGTTGGCTTGATTTAGGGAAATTCTATTGTCAAGTCATGAAATCATAGAGTATGATTGAGTGATATTTTTAAAAAGTACACCGAGGACCCATATTTTTTAGTCCTATATTGGGATTACGTAATTGTAGTATGATTGTTGTATCATAAATATTATAACCTAATTGTTCATCTTTTGGATCAAGTTATTTTCCATGACAAACATGTTTTCTTCTTCAAAAATAATCTCATACACTAAATCAGTGGATTGCTTGTTCCCTTCAACTACTTGATGCTGAAATTACTATAAACAATCACTAGACATATAAGTTTTTCTTAAATGTAAACTCATCTAGCTCACTACAGCTTGCTTATAAGTCTCGCTGAGATTCCAAACCACTACCAGCAATAAAGCAAATCCTGAACCAATGCTCCAGGTTATAAAAAAAATCAATAAGATATAATATTCAGCGGATAGGGTTTAAGAGCATATTCCTTATGCATAATCTAAAGTCACAATTTAGAAGCTTGTATACATAAGTTTGGTCCAAAACTTAAGCTCATGGCTATGTTTGCTTCAAGTTTTAATTAATTAATAAGAGAAGAAAGCATCCATACTAGCTAGCAATTTACTCAACATAATAACACTAACAACAATCCACACTACCAGCAATAAAGCAAATCCTGTCCCTCACACTGTCTCCAAAGAATTATTCTTTAAAGTTAAACAAGCTAGTGTTAAAAAGAAAAAGCTATTATGCTTTAATAGAGCTCAGAGTCTTGATTCAACATTTTTATATTTAGATAGATATATACTAAAGTTATTGGGTCTACAACCGGTGAAAAGTCTTTTCATAGCCACAATGTAATCCTTTCATATATATAAAATAAAGGGAAAAATGTTTCAAGGCCCCAAAACAAAAAAGCGGATGTGGGCAGGCCCCCTGTATTTTTTTTGGTGTGACAAACCCCCCAAAACCAAACTTAATACTTAATCAGCCCTTTTTTCATTTCCAAGACAACTTTAAGAGAAAAGTTGAGGCGTTCAGACCAAAGTACCCTTTTGTACCCGTTCCCCCCTTCCGCCTTCTCTCTCTCTCTCTCTTCTCTCTCTGTATCTTCTTCACCGCAAACCTCCATTAGCTTTCGAACCCATTTTCAAAACCCTAGTTTCACTCAAGCGGCTAGGAAATCTAATTGGAAAATGCCCCAAAGAAATTTAAGTAAAATGGCGAAGAACCGTAAGCGTAGCAAGTCTGAAGTGGCCAACAAACAAACGGAACAGGGCGTTCGTCACCGGCGTCGATCGGCACGATTGGCGCAGCAGGAAATGCCAAAGTTATCCGCCTCCGCCTCTGCCTTGATATCGCCCGCCGGCAATTCTGCTCCGACATCCTCTGAGGATGAGGAGAGTAACGAGGCGACGGAAACCCTATTGAGCATGAAAAGTCTGGATATTCGCGAAAGCAAGAGGAGACGCTCGCTGGAGGATGTGTCCATCTCAAAGAAGAAGTAAGTTCCCAAGCAATTGAGGGTTTTTGAATTTAATTAGTTTAAATGAGTGATTTTGATTTTAATTGAGGTTTATGGGATCTTTTTTTGAATAAAATGGTGGTGAGAGACTGGTTATTGTAGTGTAGAACCAGTTTCGTAATTTTGGAGTAAGATCTGAACAATACGAAGTGTTATCAGTTTGGAACAAATGCATGTAAATAATTCTCATTTGTTGATAGCTAGTTGCAATGCATGTCAATAAATCTTGGTTGTTGTTAACGTTTATGCATAAGTGTCAAGTATTAGCTATTCATGTTAATAAAACGAAATTTTGACTCAGATAATGCCTTTACGGTTAATTGTTACCTACTTTGGAGTTGAATGACTTGTTAAGAGTAAATAGTTGTTTATGCAGGAAAGCTACAGCCGAAGGTGATATACGGCCTAGTGCCTGTCTTGGATCATATTGTACTTTCATGCAAAGACTTCAACCAAAACTGAAGCAGTGGCATTGGGATGCCTACAAGGGCAGTAACTTTGAGCACTATGTATTCTTCGGACCTCCAGCACGTGATCGACGGGCACTAGAGCATGTGCTCAGCCATTATGTTGGCGAAACTGATGAATTCTCTTTTTCTGATCCCATAAGCGGGACTATATTTTCAGTCCAATTTGATGAAGAGTGGGTGCAAACTCACACGGGCTTCCCTATTGATGGGGAATTGATCTACGGGAATAGACACCCGCACAACCGGCTTTGGAGGGAATATTTTGAAGAGAAGAAAGAAATGCTAAAGGCAAAGTCAAAGGAGAAGGCCAAGGACACACAAGAAGCTGGTAGCATGAGGAGATATGTTGAGGAGTTACTGGAAACACTGGTTGAGTCTTCTGAAAATAAGGACATTGAGGATTTTGTGCTGCTTCAGATCTTGTACCAGTGTGCAATGATTTGGTGCCCCAACAGCTCACAAGGCATTCCAAGACAGTTGTTTCAATATGTAGATAGTATTGAGAGAGTGAAGAACATTGCGTGGGGTAAAATTATTTTTGATGAGACGAAGAGAGGCATTCAAATTGCCGTTGAAGGGTTGAGGAAGCCAGGGGTTACATACGTACCTGGATGCATGCCGCTCATCCCTGTAAGTTGCATGACCAACTGGTCTGACATTTGTTTTAGTTAACATTAGTCTTGGTAACAGGCATTAGAAAACATGTACAATATTAAATGTTTACAGAATATGGTTAAAATTAACATGTTAACATGAACTTTAACATATAAAAATTAAAGTTAACATCAATAGGTGAAAGTTAACATGTTATCATGAACTTTAACATATAATTATTAAAGTTAACATTAATAGGTGAAAGTTAACATGTACCCATTAATGTTAACATGTTTTGGTGAAAGGTAGCTATTTAGAGTGTAGTTGAAGAATGAGTTCTGAAAGTTAACTATTTTGATATTCGTTCCTTCGATTCTGACAGCTATGGTACTATGAGATGACTGGCATTAAAAAACCAGCCCTAAACTTGAGATGGAAGCCTCCGATGACCAATTGGGTAAGGATTGGAGGGACTGCTGGATCGTTGAGGATGGAGACAATTGTCTCTAAGGCCAAGAAAGCAAGCATTAAAATCATGGAGAGACCAATTACGACCAGCATTGAATGGGGTGAAAAATACCCTCAAGGTGAAAAATACCCTCAACGGGAGCCTAGCAGGAAGAAGATTGAAATCGCTCGCTTTGGGAAAAAAAGAAGCCCAATTGTCTCATATAGGAGTAAGGTTATGGAGCAAACTAGGGTGAGAAAGAAGAATGAGGAAGAAAAGGTAAAGGATGGGAAGCAAGATAAGGTGAAGGGCAGGACAAGGAGCTCATCCGTAGGTTACGTAAGCATCAATGACTCTTTACACATTCTTGCATATTACCAATTGAGTTAAATTTTCTATCTTTATCATTAGTTAATTTTCCATGTACTCATTGTTTCATGTTAACATGTTTTGGGTAAGAAAATTACATTGTGGATTATCATAACTATTTTTTTAATATTGTGGATACATATGGGTAATGGGTATATGGTTTACTTTTCAGATTTTGGCCCAGCATATTAGAGATGCTTTTGAGAGTGAAGATGAAATAGAGAAGTTGACAACCGAAGATCAAATTCAGTTTTGGCGGAATACGGCCAAAATTAATTGGAAACTGCTCCACACTGTCAAGCGTAGTAAGCGCCTTCAATGGGAGGAATGCTCTAAGGAGATACATAGGCTGAACAAGAAATTGGAGGGTTATGAAGGGACCGCTGACTTGATTGACCCCGAAGACCTGAAGAAGAATGTGAAGGGGATTATGTCACAGAAAGAGGGGCATACAGGGTCTGCACAAAAGAAAATAAGGAGGAGTATTGATTCTGAGGACAGGGGTGATGATGGAATTTGCTTCGATTATGACGAGGTAACCAATATTGGCAAGGAAGCAGAGAAGGAGTTAGAGAAAGGTGAATGGCAAGAGATGGAGGATGATAATTTGGAGAAAGCTGTAGAGAGTGAGGAGGATAAGAAAGAGGAAGCGACTGTGGATGAGAAGAAAGAGGAAGAGCGAGAGCAGGAGAAGAATGAGGAAGAGGAAGAGGAAGAGGAGAAAGTGGAAGAGGAAAAACATCAGAAGAAAGATGAAGAAATAGTGGTGGAGAACAGAGAGGGAGAATGTGCTGAGGAGAAGAAAGATGAAGAAAGGATGGAAGAGGAAGAGGAAAAAGGAAAGAAGAAAGATGAAGAAAAAGTGGAGGAGAACAGAGAGGGAGAATGTGCTGAGGAGAAACTGGATGAAGAAAGGATGGAGGATGGAAAACAGGTGCAAGTTTATCAGAAGAGAATGAAGAGATTAGCGTCAAAGGGGACTAGGGGACCAAGTACCAGAAAGCGGACGCGCTCACAACTAGTCCGCACCCCTTTCACTCAAGAAAAGAAGAAGGAAGTTCATCAAGAGATAATTAACATATCACACCACAAGGAGGAAGAGAGGGAAAAAATCAGGTTCTATTGTAAGCCTGATGAATGCACTTGGGATTTTTTGGGGAAGAGGAAAATCAAGAAGAAGGAAAATCAAGAAGAAGGAGGAGCCAGTAAATAAAGTAATTGCATTCATGGACCATATGAAGTCTGGTTTCGATCCGAATAATATTTGGAGAAAGTTCCGATATGAAGCCGTCCCTTGTGAGCAACAGACTGGAATGTTAGTATTTCATGCATTTAAACATGTCTTAGTATGTTAACTAAATTTAAACATTTTCATTTTATTCAGCATGTTATATCTAACTATCTGCTCCATCTTATATCATGCAGCTTTGATTGTGGTCTTTTCGTTCCTTTATATATAAAGGCTATAATTCATGGGGTAGATACCACTCAAGTAACTAATCACTCTGACGAGTCTGAAGTCATCCGTGCCAGGCTTGCAGCTGAACTCCTAATAGAAGGATGGGAACAGAAAAATCAAGGGGAGACAGTGGAAAAGGATGGGTGATTGATATCCTAAAAAGTGTTGTGTACGAACAGATTGAATTGGGAACAAAACTAACTGGCATTTTAATTTAGTTAACATTATTGCAGCTTTGTATCATTCTCTTTGACAGTTATTCTACTGTTTGTGTAACTGGTTGATAGTGTGGATGAGAAGATCCACATATCTGGTTGTGAAACTGGTTGCTATTGTAATCATTGCTAATAACAGGTTGAAGTGCATCACAGTTCATGTTGACTTATACTGATAGAACATGTTACTGATATATTGAGAAAAAAATATATATGTTAGCTTTTACATATTCCTCCTAAGGGTTAACAGATAACCTAGTACGCTGAAAGTAAACAAAACTGCCAAAAAATTGGTAAAAAACCCACTTTCAGTAAAAGTTAACGTATAATTCTGATAGTTAACCACTTTCAGTAAAAGTTAACATATAACTCGAGAACATAACCACTTTCAGAAAACGTTAACATATAACTCAGATAAATAATCACTTTCAGTAAACGCTAACGTAAAAGTCTAATAATTAACCACTTTTAGTAGAAGTAAACGTATAACTCTGATACATCACCCCTTTCAGAAGGGAAATTAACATAAATGTCACTAAAATTGACTACTTTAGTGAAAGGTGACACATAATATTTAACCACTTACAGCAAAAGCATAACAAACTGAAGTTTCTTCAGTTGATTTTCATCTTACAGATCACAATGTTGAAGAAAATTAGTACCATACAAAAACAACATAGGAAGAATGAGCAAAGTTTCCATTTTTCGACTTCACGGTTCGATTGCTTCAGTGCTTTCTTCAGTTGCTTTGTTTTGGTCGCTATCTCATCTTCAACGGGGACTTCTGGGCAGAATGAAATAATCTTACTGGGCATTGCATTCTCTTTGTGAGCCCAAGCAAAAAAATTGCATTGCATATTTGGGAAATTTGCACATCCCCAGAAGTATCTTCCTTTATTCTTCCCACTTTTGCACTGCCTCATGGGTGTTGGAATTTGACAGAAACAACATACCTCTTCTTGTGACTGAGATATCTCTGATGTTCTCATCTCACTCTATCAAACTCCAAGTGCAGGGAAGATAGAACATACATTTAAATTTAGCTTTGCTTTGGGCACATTATATATTGCATAAGGAACAATAAACTAGCCGTTGTAATATAGCTGTTAGCACAGTATGACTTTCAGTTAGCCGTTAGAACAGTGAATGAGATGTTGGACATTTGGCCAATTTAAAATCAAAATCTTTTAATAAAATCTAAGATGAACAAGCACAAATCCGTTAACATCTTTCAGCCTTGCTTTTAGATATTGCTAGCATGAAGAAAATGATTAGTCGATCATTATCACAGATTACAAAAGTCCACCACTATATACTTAACCACTTAAAAACAACCTTTGCTGTCTCATACAAAAGTATTGTTGTAAGAAACAGAAACACACTAGTCACCAGATGGGCTCGTTACAGGTTGCTCGATTGTGACCATCAACTTTGCACCGAGAACATTTGACTGGACGTTTGTAAATGGTTCTGTTGTTTATGCGTCTTGTTTTATTTCTTCCCCTCCTCTTAGTGGTAATTGGTGGCAAAATCTGTATTTCATCCCTGGACACACTCCGCTTCTCATAATCTGGGATGGGATATAATATTTCGTCGTAGCTCTTCTTAAACGCTTCTACGGACATGAACCAATCACAATATTGATATACGTCTCTTTTCATATAAATAATGACTGCACAAGCATGCACACAAGGAATACGGGTTACGTCCCAAGATCGGCAAGTGCACGTCCTCTTCTCCAAATCAACGTGAGTAGTTCTATGTGACTGCACTTCGAATATATCATCTCTAGATTGTTTAACCTCTAAAGTACGTCCTCTTTCCATATTTTCTCTAACAATCTTCTCAGCTTTAGGGCACAGATAGCTTGTCCACTTATCAGCCATTATCCGTCTATTGTTCAGGCGACTCATAATTTGTTTTCGGATATGCTCTACCATTGGCAGGATACGTAACATTCGAGCTTCACGTATCCAGCTGTTAAAGGATTCTGCAACATTAGAGGTTACATGACCATATCTGCAAAGCACAAAATAATTAATAGTATGATGGGCATCCAATATGTAATAAAATTAACACGTAACAACAAAACTTAACCTTTACTGCTCAAAGTTAACATAAAAACATCAGTGTTAACATATATTGCTGAAAGTTAACATATATCAGACAAAGTTAACCTATAGAAAGAAAAATTCACATATATGTAGAATAGTTAACATCAACTGCAAAACGTCATAATCTAAGATGAATGCATTACCTGATACCAGGGAAGAATGCATTCGCCCAATTCTCTGGCGAATAACAGAGTACAATCTCATATGCGACTGGAGCCATCTCATAAATTTCCTTCATGTAGTCGTTCCATTCCGCTATAGTGTATTTATAGCAAGCAGATTGGAGCAAACTCCCCAAAACTTGTGTGTCCTTTGCTTTCAATCCCAAATCCTTTAGCTTTGTTCTAAAATTTTCAACTAGGTGCAGAACACATCGTGAGTGGATTGCTTCAGGGAAATATTCTCTCACGGCTTCTCGAATCCCCTTGTCGGCATCAGAAATAATTACCAATTGGTGGGGAGGATTGTACGGGTCTAACCTTTCATACAGTATGGACCACAAGCCTTGAAGGAACCATCTCCAATTATCAACATTTTCCTGATCACATATACAATACGCAACCGGAAATATCCCTTGGTCTCCGTCGTATGCTATGGCGCTCAGGAGCATGCCTTTGTATCTGTCTTTCAAAAAGGTCCCATCCAAAAATAATAGGGGTCTACACCCATTTAAGAAACCAACGATGCAAGCGGCATAACATATAAACAGTCTTTTGAACCTTCCTTCATTCTGGTCAATGCATATGTAGCTTCCTGGATTCGTTTCCTTCACCTTTTGCTCATACCTGTACAACAATGTAGCTTCTGCTCAAGCATATATAATACATTGGAACATTAGGATAATATATTAACATAAAAGCTCACAAGTTTTCATAAAACATAACATTCCACAATGACAGTTGGAACATATCAATGAAAACTAACATGAAACATCTAAGGATAAGATATTGCATGATAAATCAACAACTAACAATTGTACTATAAGCGGCTATGATAAAAATTTGTACACTTAATAAAATAACTGTAAAATTTACCATCTTAATTGATCATAAGCCTCATAACTATCACCATACATATCCTCCTGCGCTCTTTCTTTGCCCCACCATATCTTACTGTATTCAAGTCTCAATCCATATCGAGTGAGGAACTCCTTTTGCACATCAATTGGTCGGATTTGAGGTCGCGCCTTTAATACCGGTCGCAATTGGGCTGCTATGAATTTACGAGATGCCCGTGATTGCCCTGAATTGTTAGCATGTTGTCCACAACTGTGTTCATTCACAAACCTTTTGATTTCAATTCTTTTACCATACTTAACAGGAGATGCAAAGAGCATCCAAGGGCATCCATATGTCTCCTTATATCGACAACATACTCGGATACGTTTGGGTTCGTTCTTTACAAATTCATAGTCAAATTTTTTCGCCATGGAATAGTACTGCAAAGCTAGTCTCAATTCGTTTACAGTCTCAAATTGTTGCCCCTTTTCAGTTAATGTTGTGTGCCACCATTGAGGAATGCTGGAAGTGTTGTTGAGAATATCATCAGCTCTCATTACAACCTCACCAGACGGGAAATCATTTTGGATTCTCTCTGAATTGGATGCATTTCCTGGAGGAGGACGACTATATTCTACATTCAAAGAGGCATCACTACTGCATAAATTAATCAACCAGTGAGATATCATGCACAATATGTTATATTATCTTCTGATAATTTAAGTTAACAGCAGTAGGACCAAAGGTAACATAGTACAACAAAAGTTAACTAACTGGGTGTAAAATTAACCATGTTCCCACGACAATTAACATGTTCATGTAAAGGTTAACATATCTCTTGGAAAATTAACCTATAAGATGAAGAGTTAACATCTAACCATCAGAGATGACAACTATTTTTTCCCAAGTTACCATCGAAACCTGAAATCACAATTGGCTTATCATCACACATAGACCTGTTCCTGACAGAGTTCATTGTTTACTTACAAATCAATAATAACTTACATTGAGGGATTTGATGCCCATAAGGGATGGTTGAAAGTTGAAGAAAAAAATAACAATGTTTACATCACACAAAACCCAATGTTATAAAGAGTTCATTAATTACTTACATTCCCCTAATAACTTTCTGATTTTTCCCTGAAGTGGAACACTCTACATTAACAGCAGCTTGCATGTGAATCTCCGTACAACCAATATTTCGATTGTGCTCCAACATGCACTTCAAATCATCATCGTTGTCAACTGAAAAACTGAGGTTGGGGTGCCTCTCAGATTTAAATATAAAGGATAAAGCTTCTTTAGGTACTTTCAATCTTTCAGACACATCAAATTGGAGTTCATCAAAGCTTGTTGTCGAACTTAGCTTCACGAATATGGCATTCTCGCCTAAAGAAACCATGCAAATCAAGTCATTGACGGCCATTAGGGGTGGTTGAAAGTTATGAGGACAGTTATGAAGGCAATTATGACGAGTTGAGGAGTAATTGAGGGGATTTCAGGTGCAAAAGGGCTGTAAACAGTTGAAAAAAACCCTAATTTCATTAATGAGAGAGTGAGAGATAAAACTAACCAATTTATAACAAAGGATGATGAAGCAGACAATAATGGCGGGAGCCCGCGCTTTTTCCCCCCGCTTTCCCCCGTCACTTCGTCATAAATGCGTTGGGAGAGATCACCGAACAAGAGAACCCATTCAGCCGGTTTTCTTTGAGAGAGATGAGGGCATTTTCGGGAGGAAGCAACAAAATACACCCACTTGATGTATACGTATGGGCTTTTGGGTCTGGGCCACAATTTTCACAATTTTTTGGGGCTGAAGGCTAAGGCAGTTAATTGGGGGGGCTGGGCCACATCCGCTTTTTTGTTTTGGGGCCTTGAAACATTTTTCCCTACTTTTTTACTTTCTCTTTCTTTTTGTTT